GACCCCGCACGAGACTGGAGCTTGATGTGCCATGGCATACAACACATGTTCAGAGCGCTTGGAAGAGCTCATGGGCTCGATGCCATAGGCTTTTGCCTCTTTAATCAGGATGCCCCTGAGGCCTGAACAGGTGTTGACAGAAACAAAAGACCCCGGAACTCCTTCTATGTAGCCTTCATAGTGGCAGTCATGTGAGAGGAAAGGCGCCTCTTGCCTCACAATGCCCTTGTGGTAGCCAAAGACTGGAAAGTTATTCACAAAATAGTCTCTCTTCACCTTCAGGTGTATCAGCTGCTCCTGGCCCTGCATAAATATCACATAGGATGCCTCTTCCCCTGGGGCTTTCCCTCCCTCAGCTGTCAGACTCCTGAGGATGACTGTTTCATAAGCAGAGTAATACACTGAGCCCAGGTCACAGTACAGGCTTGGCAGAAAACTCACCAAGAGCAACAGAATCCCCACCCTGACACAGGACGATCGTGGCACTGGCCCCAGCTTCAAGTCCCTCTGTTGAGTCCAAGTTTGAAACTTTATCTTACCCTCTTTCAAGGCCGCTTGGTTTTTCCATAGAGAAGGCAGTATAGAGTCAGAATCTCTCACAGAGGCTGCCACTAACATGGCCTCAGGGAATCTGTGGATGACGCAGGGCCTATGTCCATCAGTGGCAGTTCTCCCTGACCCGCTGATCCTTGGAGACTCAGGTATTATCCTCAGCTCTATACTGGCTCCCTCATGGGTGACTGCTGTCCAACTCCGAGTCTTTCAGACTTGGAGACTGTTTCTATTCTTGCTGCTCTCTCTTGGCCTTCAGTAGTTTCCTTACTATGTGACTTCCTTCCAACTACATCAGCTTTAAGTCTCCTTGGCTAAGTTCCTATACCCTCACAGAGACACATACCAAGAAGGCCTGTAATGCTTCATTCAATACTGTAACTGGCAAATGATCCTTATCCTCAGCCCAGGCAACACTACTCCTGATATCCGTTAATCTGCTCATTCTTAGAAACCCAACATTCTGGCAGGAGGTTGGGGGGAGGGGACAGAGATTACTTGAGGATCTCTGAGTAGGACAAAGTTCTCTGTTGCCCACTGACACTTTTCCTCATTTCTGTAGTATTCAGGATACTGTTTGTCAGTCCAACCCTTTTTTGTCAGTGTCTGAATTTTTCCCTTTAATTCAATAAAAATTGTATGTGGCTGCACAAATTCTCCCTCATCAGCCTTTGTTCATAACAGATGAATTCACCTGCATAGAAACATAATTTGTCTCTACTAAAAAGTTAACACAGATACATTAAGTGTTAAATGAGCTCAGTTTCACAAGTTATAAAAGTGACTAGGATCAAAGTTCAATTCCTTCCAACTGTCCCAAAATAAAAATAAACTCTGATTAGCCAGATATCTAGTTACTATTTCATCAAGAACATAAAAGTGGACTCTCTAAGACCTTTTAAAAGATTTCTTCACTTTTGTAACTAAAATTGAACTGTAATATCTGTAGAAGTCCTCGGATTTGATTTTGATGACAATTTCCTGGTATATTTAGCAGTACAAATTTAAAAGAAAAAAAAGCAGGGGAAAGCTCTATTCACATTCCTTACCCAGTCATTCTGCTGTGCATTCTAAGATGAAGCAAAATAAGACTCTACATCTTTTATCTTGCATAAAAATAATTTATATTAAATCAATATTTACAATATAAAACCTTTAAAGGTTATGAGTACAAGTTTAACACTCAGAAATGGGGAAATGCCCTATCTAATTCAAAAAGGAATGGTATGCTATCACAGGATCTCAGATATAAGCATGAGAGCAGATCAACTCATTAACTACCCCACATTAATATTTAATTCCTAATATACTTGTAGATGATAAAATTTATCATTAGCATCTAGCCAGAAAATATATGCTGTGCTATCACAATCCCATTAAAAATTTTACAGAAAAAAAAGGTGAAATGATTTCTAGCTGGATTTCTCTTCTTGTTGTATTTTATATAATAAGAAAGTCTCTTAAAATTATATAATTAGAAATTATCATAGATTTAAGGTGTTTCAGTGTGTTGTAACAAAAACAGGGAGGGCAGATTACGTCAAGTCATTTTGTAGGATGAAAAAAATCAAATCAATAATGAAAGAACACCTCTACTTTTTAAATAAATAAAAATATAATTAAAATTAAATACCCAATTTTCCAACTCTCAAATTGAAACACATTTTCTTCAATAAATAACACACACACGCAGGCATTCATACACAAGATCTGATTTAAATCATTTGACTTCTTTAACCAATAATTCCTTCAACTTGTTCTTTCTCAAATGAATACAAGAACAAAACTCTTTTTAAGAAGCAGTTCCTCCTATTTGTTTCAAGCAATAAATTTCTGACAGATATTCTCCTATGCTTATACAATATATTAGCCAGAAAGATATACAAGTTGTTTTACATCAAGCAAATGTGTAACTGTGGTAAAGTCTAAAGGTATTTGAGTGATAATGGTTTTAGTAAGCAGAGGGTTAGCAAATCACGTGGGAAAACTGGAGACTAACTAATCTGCTTGAGAGCTTTTCGTACAATGTGACCTTTTCACAGGTATAGGCATTAAAGAGACAAGCCAGAAGAGAAAAACGATTTTGTCTCACTTTCAGTTATATGTGCATTTTGCTTTATCAGTAAACATTACTGGTATGTTAAGGCAGGACAGTAGTTGCTACTAACATACAAACTCTACAAAGAAAACTCCACTTTAAAGACCAAACAGTGCTGAGTCCTTTGGGAGCTATTGTTTTGTAAAGGAGCTCTGTCCAGGGTAAGACCACTTTTGAGTTACAGAAGCTGGAGCATCCTCCAGGAAATTCAAACTTCTAGCTTAGTGCTTATCTGGACATGTCTAGACACAGCACACATTTGGGAGCCAGATTAATTCAGCCTGAAACAACTGAAGCATGGGTAACTGCTGCTCACAGTAGAAGGAAACATCGTTTTGAACACCCCTTCAGATCATGCCTAAAATTTCTACACAGTGAAGGAAAAAAATCATCCTGAGCCTTTAAAAGAAAACCAAATAAACTTGAGAAGTTGATGGTAGACTGGGCATGCCAGACTTCCAAAAAAAAGAGGATAACAAAATTAATTACTGCCTTCCTCTCCCCAGTGAATACTGAACCTCTGCCCTAAGAAAGGAAAAACAACAGGTGTTCAGCTGTTCTACAAACAAGTGCAATTTTTTCCTGATTGCAAGAAGTGATATGTAGAGCATTTCACTGAAAAATAGAATAATTTAATTCAACTCTCAGCTAAGTTTTCTGGTCAGTAAATAAGAAAACATTTTGTCTTTCTCTGCTGCCTGACTCTTAAATTTTGCCACGTTTAAAAGTACTGAATTTTCCTGACAGGGTATCCATTTATAACAGGTATAAGTCACCTCCTTAAGATTAATGAGCCTTGCCTCAAAAAATACCTTGAATTACAAATTCTCCAAGATAAAGGGAGGGAACCAATGTAATAGGTAATTCTTAAAAAGATACTTTGTATTATTATCATATATTTCCACAGTCAGGCACACACATACATGGGGCATACTAACCAGATGTCACCTTGAAGACATACTCAACAAAATGGAAGAGTCAGAAAATAAGTTAGCTCTGTGGGATATATTTTGATTGAAGGGAATGTGACATAATAAAATTGAATAACTGTGCCTACTCATCTTCCTCTGCTCTGCAAGTTGGAGTCTGCCTATTGGCTCTTCTATTTACCAACATAAGTACCCACCAAAAAGGCAAAAAAGATAATTAAATACACATGGTTTGTTATGGAAGCCCATTTCCACAAGAGAAAACCAGAAAAGCACCCAGCCTTGTTTTCCATTCTAACACCTAAACTCGGGACCAGAACCATGCTTCCTGAAAATGAAAGTTAAGGACAAAATAAATACACCCAAGGGACGCCAATATGAAACTCAGGTAGAAATATTACCAAGAAAAGGGCAGCTTTAAAAGGAAAAAACTGGACCATCTTAGATGCTAATCCAACTATCTAGTTTTCATGATATGTAACTTTCTCAGAAAAACTATCCCATAAAGGGGCCAGAAGAACAGGGAAAGGAAATAAGCAATGCAGCTGGGGAAGGCTGTGGAAAAGAAAAGAGGACAATGTAGGCTCTCAGGGGAAAGGAAACTGAAGCTTTGATTTAAACATGACAAAAATAAACTCAAAAGAGAATCCATTAGATTTAAGAACACACCAATACTTTTTTTTACCAAATACGACAAAAAAGAAATGTTATGGGCCGGCTGAATGGCGCGATAGTTAAGAGCTGGCTTGGGATGCCAGAGGGCCCTGGTTCGGATCCCACATATGAGGGCCAGTGACACTGTCCTCTACAGCTAAGATGCTGAACAACAGCTCAACCTGGAGCTGGGCTGCCGTGAGTCGCAGGCGACTGCGTAGGCTGCAGCCCCTGCTGCAGTGGGTTGCCATGGGCTACCGGGTGTAGCCAGCAGCCAGCGTGAGCGGCCAGCAGCCGTGAGCAGCCGTCCAGAAGCCGGCGCCTGATCTGCCTCACCCGGGAAGAGCGCAATGATGGTGCCAACTTGGGCCAGTGAAGCAATGTCCTCCACAGCTAGACTGAAGAACAAAAGGGCAGCAACTTGTCTGTTCCCCTTCCCCCAATTCCCCAATAAAAATCTGTAAAAAAGGAATGTTACCACTTTTCTCTTGGGAATTAGGGACAAGAGAAATGAAGGCTCACTCCGTGCCTCTTCTGTCATGGGAGTTGGCATCCTGTGAATTTCAGCAGGTAGTCTGCAACATGGATCTACAAAAATTTCTTGGCTCCAGAGCTACTCTACCAATAGTGCAGAAAGTAAATACACAGGGCAACTGAAACCAAATTCCACAGTATTTGATTCAACTGTTTACTAAGCAGAAACATCAGTATAGTTGGTCCTTTGTCTACCGCTGGCAAATGGTTTTTGTATACTTTATTACAAATAAAACAATTTTGCTTGACAATATCATCTGTCATCTTACAAACATATGACTAAACAGTCCTAAAGTAATAGCATGTCTCTAGGAACTGAGCTTTTCTTAAAAACAAACAAATGAATTATACTATTAGTAAATACTGTATCTAAATCTATACAGCATCTTTAAGCAATGTGAAAATGAAATTATGATTTATTAATTTACATAAAAATTACTTTATACATTAAAGAATAATTTTTCCAATTGTAAAAAAAAAAGTCTGAAGCTGTCATTGGGATTCATGGGACATGGTTTGCTCTTCTATCACCTGCTTCACAATTTCTGCCAGTTTTAATCGATCTACTTTATCTGTGAATCCACGACCTGAAACCCAAAAAAGAAAAAGGTAAATCTCCAAACCATTTGGGAGGTGATAGATTCGTGATAGGGACCCAATAAGATACACCTTATAAGTGTCAAATTCACCCTCACCAATGGAGGAACCATCCCCAACACTGGTCAAAAGCAGTTCAGATTCCCCATTTTGCAGGAAGCAATCGAGCAGTTCCATTAACCCAGTAGTAAAAATCCAATGTTCACTACAACAGCAAAGAAGGAAACCATGAAGAGAAAGATCTTTGTCATAGGTATGCTGACAAAGGACTTGTATCCAAAATATATGAAGAGCTCCTACACATCTCTAAGAAGGATACAATTCAACAGAAAAATGGGCAACAGGAAAGGCACTTCACAAACAAGGAAATCTAAATGGCCAACAAATATTTTAAAAGTGCTCAAGCTCATCAATCATCAGGGAAAGGCAAAGTAAAATTACACTGCAATACTAGTACATACTAACCAGAATGACTAAAATACAAAAAAGATAAACAATAGCAAGTGTTGGTGTGGAGGCAGAATAGCTAGAACCCTCAAATACTGTGACTGGAAGTATCAACCAGTACCACCACTTTGGAAAACTGGTGGCAGTCCCTACTAAATAAAGCCAAACAGATGAAAACCCCCATGAACCAGCAATTCCAATCCTAGATATGTGAGAGAAATGAGGTCATCAAAATATTCAAGAGATACACAAGAGCATTCATAGCTGCTCTTTTCTTCATTACCAAAACTTGGAGACAATCCAAATATCCACTCAACAGTAGTGTGTGTGTGTGTGTGTGTGTGTGTGTGTGTGTGTATGTGTATGAGAAATATATATTGAGAATATATGGAGAATTATTTGCTGCTACACACAACTATATGGCTGAATCTCACAAATAATAATGTTAACTAAAACAAGCCAGACACAAGAGAACACAGACTTGTTTGATTCTATTTACATAAAATATAAAACCAGGCAAAATTATAATGCTAGCAATCAGGATCGCAATCACCCCTGGGGGAAGGAGGAAGTGATTAGAAGAGGGCCCAAGTGCTCGCTTCGGCAGCACATATACTAAAATAGAAAAGGGCCCATGTTCCACTGCATGTTCTGGGTGCTGTTACAGGGGAGTGTTCTTCACTTTGTGAAAATTCATTAAAAAGCCACACTTCATTCTCTTTTCTGTACTGATATTTCAAAATCTTAAAAAAAAAAAAAATTCCCAGGGAAGCTACTCTTTTCCTAGTATGGAAATGACCAGGCTAGCACTTTGCATTTCTCATGTCCGAGAGCCACGCCAGGCAATGAAGTCGAAGAGTTTGCTCCCTTCCCCGAGCACCCTGTAGCTTAAGTCTAGTTTAGACCGCTAAACTAGAAAGACAGTACAAAAAAGCAGTCCAAGAAATATATCTCTACATTGTTTGCCTGGGAAAAAATATTTCAACAAGCAGCCGACTTGGAAAACTCTCTACTCTTTAGTCAAACAGCTCTTCTCTAAGCTTAGCAGATCAGCAAGGCAGACTTCTGGGAATTTTGCCCTCTTTCTCCCCTTCAGAGTATACTTGCTCCTGAATGACCTGGGAACAGCCCAGGTATCTGAGACAGTTTTGAGATCTGAGGGGGTTTTTGCCCAAGTGGTGTGTGACAGGGGCTCTACAGTGTTGAATCTGCAACACATAATTTATTTGAACTGTGGAAAACAAGTGAAAGGGCCAGATGTCCAGAGTGCCTGGGCAGTTAATATAGGGCTAATCCTAACTCTTGCCCCACAATACTTCACTTCCTCTGCAGCCTCACGTCACCTGAAAATAGCCCTCGCTCGGCCCCCCGAGAGCCTACGTGTTCTAAACATAATCACTGCTCTGCATCCTGAGGGTAAGGAGTTATTAGGCTCTTACCATTCCAGCTGAAGCTTTGCAGAGTATCTCTTAGGAGTTTGCATTCTCGGTTATACTTCCAAGCCTCTTGCATTACTTCATTCAGCTTCTCATCTTCATTCTCTCCTATTGATAAAGACAAAGAAGACGTTGCATTTCCCTGCAGTATCCTGAGTCTTTAGTGTCACAGATGGAAGGACATGATGTTCAACTATTTGAGAAGTGCAAACTTTACCAGACACTTGTTGTCACTGCTAGTCCCTACATTATACACAAACCACATCTGGTCTTTGAGCTCTTCTACCAGTACCGTCTCACACAAATCCTCTGATGGCCCCAGAATCTTAGCACTAGGGGATGGGAAACAGGCAGTGTCAGACTCTACTGCTAAGCAAAAACAGCTTAGGTCTCTGCTTAACCGAAGAGACCGAGACAGGGAGGGAGAAAAGGCTGAGCGGGCTACTTCTTTCTCCTAAGTTCATTTCTTCCTCTGGAAGGCTATGTGATATACACTATGTGAGTTCTCTTCAAATGCAAGGAAGCTAGGAAGACAGGCCAACCTAACAGTTTCCTGGCCTATGACTTGAAGCATCTCATGCATCTGCTGAGGAAAGCCCATCACACCCCGCTGAGTGGAGAAAGAACATACTGAAAGCAAGCTCCCACTCAAAAGAATCCACGCGTAAGTCACACTCTACTCATGAGAGGAGTAGCAGCAGGGGCCACTTCTGACCTTGGGGGCTATTCTCTTTACATTCACAGTTAACGAACCTTTGTACCCTAAAGGCTCTGTAAATGAAGTTTCCTGACCATCCCAAATTGATCCTGACCCTGTCCACATTTCCCGCTCTCCATCCCATGCCCTCATTAACAAACTAAGAAAATATAAAATTACACACTGCCCCTGACATTGACAATAAAACCTAAATTAGAAATTTCACACGTTTCTGAGTTTCTATCGTCCACTCTTTTAAGTGGGCACAAACTAACTTATATTAATGTAGTTATTTTCTTACACACAAACATGAAACAAACAACCTCAAATTAAACCACTCCGTCATGTGCACATGCATGTGCGTGCACGCGCATGCACACACGCGCACACACACACACACACACACACGCACACACACACAGAGCATTCGTAAATGGTGTGACCTTTACCAGCCTGGGGGAGAATACACTGAGCAATCACATCTCGGAGCTTTTCCAAGGCAACGTTTGAATCCTCGGCTCCATTCTCACGGTCATGGATATAAACACTGTCCTTTGGCTTGGTGCTTTAGAGTTTGGGAGAAAAGTAATAACAAGGTGAGATCCCAAAACCCAACTCTCAACAGATGTTAGCTCTAAGCATAAGGCAACAGATTTTTTCAGATAAATAATTACTAGAATATCTCCAACTTCTGACACTATTTAAAGAGCTTCTCCTTTCCATCCTCTTAAGAGGCAGAAAAAGGGCAGACCCCTGGTTGACCTTTCCGAAGTCTACACTCAAGCAACCCCAGCTGTGAAGGAGAACCAACAAAATAAGCTCTGTTACCCGAGTAACTTCCTCTTCCTCAGAATGGGGTTGTTGACAGAGTGCAGGGGCTTGAGGCTGACCTTCAGGTCCTGGATTCGCATGTTGGCCAGCTGCTCCGCATGGGCCTGCTGGATGCCTGCAACTACTGCCTGCAAGCAAATACTGGTGTCAGTTTCTCACATTTATTTCTGAGCACCCACAAAGCCCATCAAAGAGAGTGGAAAGGAGCTCCAAGAAGGCAATTTCACATTTATGCTGGCTGTGTACACATTTAGATAAAGCACAGGATTCTTCCCCGGGGATCAGCAGGCCCCAGAGAATAGTAGCCCTTCTTCCCTGTGGGGGGACGGATATGTAAGAAATGCTAACAAGGCTCATGTTCACAGTCATTGGCAAGAGCAAGTGTAAGAGAGGCACACGTGTACACCAGGGAAAAGGCTGGCAGGCTACTGCCTGAGAAGCCTCCAGACTAGCATGTACTCACTGCCCCACAGTGTAGACAGGCACCTCAGCACTGATGGCTCAGAACCCCAACCACTTCCCACAGTGAGTGTTGTAGGCCCTTAAGATCTAGCTATAAGCCAGTCAATTAATTTACAATGAGAAGTAACTGTCGTGAAGTGCAGAAACTCTTGAAGTCTGTGTGTTTATGACCAGTAAGTATGTGCTCACTATGGGCAGACCAATGAGGGGAGGCAAATACTCCACAGAAAGCTTGGTAAGAATGAGATGATCCCATTTTTGTATTTTAAAAAAGGACAAACTCTGAGTGTGTGAGTGTGTGTGTGTCTCCCCCCAGAAAAAGATCAGGAAGGCTACATCAAGCCACAGATTACCTCACATCTAGGGAGTGAGATTGAGGCAAGGGAACGAAAGGGAACTTTTGCTTCTTATTTTATATATCTCTGTATTGTTTAAATTTCAACAATTAAATTTGACCATTTAAAAATGTGGTTCCTTAGGAAGCATACAATGAGATAAGGAAGAGTTCAGACTCATTTGCAGGAACTGTAAAAGCTGGTCCTGGCTACACCCCTCTGGACCCTCTCATCTCTCTTCATTAGTGATGGCTCAGCCAGAAAGATGGGAGCAGTTCAAGGTTGTGAACTCAGGCTCCATCACCTAGGCGGGGCTTAGATGGACACTATTCAACATCTGCATATGTGGCCATGTTTTTACTCTTCCAAAGTTGATCAACCCGCATCATGACCACATCATTCTTTACAGATAGGAATACACTGTCATGCTGCAGTTCCATCTTATAGGCCCAGAGCCGGTCTTTCTTATTAAGAAGATTCTGCTTATCCATGCTTGGCTTCATTATGGACTAATTTTAAAGTACCTACAGAAGGCAATTATTTCTTCATTTCCAAGATCTTGAAAAAGCTGCATTGTAACACTCATGTGCTGA